TAATGCACTGGCCTGCCACCTCGGTTTGAACCACAAGGTTGGAGGTTCAAGCTCACCAGCCACTCATCAGAAACCCTACACCGGGGTCGCTATGAGTTGAAACCGACTTGATGGCACTTAACAACAACATTGACAAAATTATCACTTTTATGTAAAAGAAAAATGTCCACAGAAAATGTCAATTAAGCACTTGACTGCTAGCCAGCCAAATAGTTGTCAGTTTGAATCCAACAAGAGAAGCCTCTGAATACAGGTCTGGTGATCTCTCTTTTAAAGGTTGGTGGTGTTGTTAAGTGCTGCGGAGTCATTTCCGACTCATAGCAACCCTGGATAGAGTTTCTGAGGAGCGGCTGGTGAGTTTGAACTGCTAACCTTGTGGTGCAAATTGACCTTGTGGTCCAGTGTTTATCCTACAGGGCCACACCAGAAATCCTTTGAAAGGTTACAGCCTTAAAAACCCTTTGGAGGACTGGTTGCGAGGGATAGAAATGTAAAGGTAGACATTTTATAGTAAGGAAGGGAGTGATTAACTTTACAGTCTAGAAGTGGAGGTCCCTAGGACCATCAAGGGAGAAGAGCGGAGAAAGAGCGGGACCCTACCCAGAGAAGCAGTGATGCCTGAGATGGAGGCAGAGATGATGATGTGGAGCGATGGAGCAGCTGGGGACTTTAGACCCAGAGAGGGAGAAGGGCTGTGTGCTGAAGACCAGGTGTGTGTGGGGGAGTAGTGTTGGCGGCAGGCTTGCAGGGTATACCCTTTGGTCGGTTGATGACGCATGGAGGGGATTGTAACCATGGCAATGAAATGACATACGATAGGATGAATGTAAAACTTATGTTCTCCCATGTAAACTATCACATAATTCACAATAAAACATTAAAAAAAAACAAAAAACCCTGGGGAGCATAGTTCTTTGCCCATGTGGGTTTGTCATGAGGCATAATCGTCTTGATGGGAATTAACAACAACATGGGAATATATTTTGAAATTAACAATAAAATTAACAATACCTTCTCTGGTAGCGCAGTGGTTACGAATCAGGCTGCGAACTGCAAGGTCAGCAGTTCGAAACTACCAGCCGTTCCACAGGAGAAAGATGAGGCTTTCTGCTCCCGTAAAGATTTACAGCCTCAGAAACCCTGTACAGGGTCGTTAATAAGTTGGAACCAACTCCACCGCACATAACCACCACCACTGTAATTTTATGCAAATAACACACATGCTACTTTGCAATGTATTTTACACGCTGAAGCCCCTTTGCTCTCAGTATCCTATGTGCACTCTGTACCCCTTCTATACACGTGTACACAATATTTATTGGGTACATTTCCAAAAAATATATATAGTAGCTATTTCTTTTTATGGTGATTATGTATGCCATAACAGTCAAAAAGAAGGAATAATAATCTTTGTAATCTTTTGTTCTGTTAAAACTTTTCTCAACAAAAAACATTTTTTTTTAACAATTTAAGTAGCCATTTGATTTTTTACTTTTTAAGACCCAATCCAAATGCCATCAACTCCATGACACCTTTCATGGCACTTCAGGCAGAAAGATCTGCTGTCTCCTCTAAACTTACTGGTAAATATTTAGAGTTCTCACATTATATCGAATGTTTATTTAAAATTTTGTTTTGTTTGCCTTGTCTTATATCTCCTAATGTTGTTGTTGTTATGTGCCATGGAGTCGGTTCCAACTCATAGCGGTCCTGTACAAGGTTTCCAAGGCTGTAAATCTTTACTGGAGCGGAAAGCCTCATCTTTCCCCTGCGGAACTGCTGGTAGTTTCCAACTGCTGACCATGAAATTAGCAGCCCGATTGGTAACCACTATGCTACCAGAGATAAGAGCTTAGAAAACCTTATGGGGTAGTTCTACATTGTCAAATGAGGCCACTATGAACTGAAAACAACTCGACAATGGCTCGGTGGCATCAAATAGCATATCCTTGTCTAGATTTACCTTTCCACATGCTTTTCCAAATTGAATTCTATCAAAATCCCTTTCACTTTGATTCAGTGGCCCCCTGTCTTAGCTTACTCAATCAGTTTAATTATCCACTCTAGATAATTATTATTTGTAGTTTCCTGCTTGAAATAATCTCCTGTATCCTTCATCCTTCAAAAGCATCAGATTCGACCCTTCAAAATCTCTCTCAATATTCCCAAGGAAGACTCATCTTTTTTTTTTTTTTCTTTCTCCTATTTCAAAAGTGTTTAGAGGGTATTTTGTGCATATTTTTGTCTTTTATAGCAAGTTGATCGAATCATTTTATTTATTTAAAGAGACAGTTGATGAATATAATAATCCCAGTACCGTTTTGTTTCTACTAAAATGGAAGCTCTATTTGGAATCAAACTATTTTATTATTTTGTAAAAGCCTAAGAAAATGGATTTGATGAATTTTGTAGAAGGAATTGATGAGATTCTGCCATTTACAAGGTTACAGATCTAAGATAAAAATAAAATAGTAGGAAATCATTATTACACAACCCTAACATTTTATTAGAAAAAAGCTGAAGCCCAATATGTCAATAATAGCTCTAAAACTGCTGACATAAACATTGTCCCTATATTTCTTCAAAAAACTTTGCAAGAAATCTTCTATTTTGTGATGCATATGTAGTCAACAAAGTAGTCTGAATGAAATACAAGATTAACAGCTAAATGAAACAGAAACAATCATATATATATATTTAGGCTTGTCCTCACCAGTTGCTGTTTTTAGTCATAGACATTTTATCTCTTTATTTGGGTAGACATTTTTTAATAGAACGATATCCAGAATCAACATTCAAACAATAAAAGAGAATTACCAAGGGAAAATGATTTGGAGACTTGGTGGGAGCAGGGTGATACACATTTCAAAGTAAGATTTGCAAGTAGGTTTCCTGAAATTTAATGAGAAGATCTACATAGGCCAAGTCACCAAACTGTCTTTGCTTTGAGCTAAATGCATTTCCGCTGGTGGTGATAGAAGAAAGAGGCAGCAAAGGAAGAAGCAGAAATTACATGCCATAACCTCCCTAGAAATACTGCAGGTTTGTGGCCATAACAATATAAAGGGCTCTATAGAGTCCCAGAATGAAAAAGAACTATGTGTCTACATTCTATTTCTGTCCTTACAAATTTCTGATTTTTTTGTTGTGGTTGTTTGCAGCTATCTAAGAAAAATTTGATATTGTTGTTGTCTAAGCACATTTAAACTTCAGCTGAAATAACTGCCAAGTGATTCATGCCTATGTAGGTGAATATAATGATTGTATCTGGAGCCCCAGTGCGCCATTTTCATTTCACTTTAAATAAAAAACAAAATGTATCTATGTCAGTCAGTGCCCTTTCTGCTGTACTCAGAGGTATCAAACAGGCTACAATTATGATTGTGAAGTGATTGTGTCACATTGGAGGAAGGTTTATTGCTTTTGAGTCTGCTAGGCAGTAACGCATTCTGTTTCATATTACTCTTTATATCATTGTTTGGCTGTGACTAGAATAATCAAATGCCATCAAATGCTGTCAAATTCAATTTACGGTATTTTTCATTGAAGCGGGCTTTCTGCATTATATTTCCTGTTTCCCTTCTCTATAGCTGCCATGGAATAGTCACTGTAATCATGAGCTTTATTTACAAAACCAACAGAGTGAAGCCACGTCCTGGTCTATAACAGATACTTTATTTCCCTTTATTCAGAATAGGAAGCTGATATGCTTTTTTCATACAATTAGCATTAAGTAGACGAAAGAAAACTATTTCAAGAGGATGGGCGTTTTAAAGCTTGCACTAATGTGCTTAGTGTAAAATGTGAATTCACATTAGCTGTTGTTTTTTTTGTTTTGTTTTGTTTTTTTTTACATGGTCTTGTATATTTGAATCAGAATTATTACTCTTCAAATTAATGTCTGCTGAGAAAAAATTGGGCTTGCTCATTTTCGGTAACATCATTTACATAACCAGAAATGCAATAATATTTTCTCCTTCCATAATTTTCCTACAAATTCTTAGCTCATCGCCAAGCACAGATCTGAATCAAAGCATTTAGGTATCTAATGTTGACCAAACCCAAAGTCATCTAGTCAATTCTGACTCACAGTAACCCTACAGGGTTTCTGAGACTATAAATCTCTAAGGGACCAGACAACCTTGTCTTCAGAACAGCTGGTGGTCTTGAACTACTTACCCACCGCGCCACCAAGAGGAGCCTATAACAGGTGAGCATCCAGGATGTAGTATCAATAAGGGTTGGTGTGAGACTGCTCAGGAGGTCCTAACAGAGGGTGCTGAAGTGGCGGACTGGTCTCTGAGAAACACTGTATTTGGTTTGCAAGTCTTCATGTAAATACATAAATTTTGGAATGGGGTTTTCAATCTCAAAATTATATATGCTAGTGTCTGTGTTTTCTGACTTTGAATGCAGTTCTTGGCCGACAGTTTGTTTCTTCCTTGACTCTTTTGTTTCCCACTTTCTTCCCTTGCCTTCCCTGTCTGTCTTTTCCTCCCTACTCCATTCACTTCTCTCTTTCCTTTTTTCTTCATTTTAGGTGGATTAAACTTAACAAAATCAGCACATGATTGTGAAAACAAGCTGCATTAATGCTACCTAGTTACCTGCGTTTAGATTCATTAAAACAGAAGAACTAGAGTACAGCCATCTTTGGAGCAATATCTTTTGAGGAAGAGAAGAAACTTTTCCAATCTCCAGGTAATGGATGATGGGAAACACTAGAATTCTCATCCCAGACCTGGTTTGTCCTCTGCAAAGACTGTGTTCTCTTGGCCACTAGCCTTTGCTCTTTCATTTCATCAAATATTAGGCAGAACTTCTATGAGCTACACTATGAAAATGAAAAATAAACTTAATTCTTTGTTATTGTTGTTCAGTATCATGAAATCGGTTCCAACTCATAACGACTCTGTATAGGGTTTCCAAGGAGTGGCTACTGTCTGAGAATATTATACATTCCTAGATAATTAAAAAACAGTAGTAATAATCCAACTTACCTGTAAATAAAATAGTTGATGACGATTCCATTGGGTTTTTTAGGCAGTAACCATTCAACCTTTATGCAAGCTGACCCCAGTGCATTAAGAACAGGGGGATTAAGATCCATTGGAGCATCATCAGATGTTTTAACAAACACCCTATTGCTAACTCCACAAGCTCCTTGAAAAAAAAAAAAAAAACAAGAGGCTTTTAATCTTTTATCAAAAAGAGTTTCATATACATATAGAATGGTAAGAATATAACAAAATTCAATTCATCTGCATTTTGTATGTACATCAGTACACATTATTGTAGACTGGTAGTTGTCTTTGAGCCAGTTCCAATTCATAGCAAACTTGTATAGGGTATTTGAGAAGTGACTGGTGGGTTTGAACTGGTGACCCAAAGATTAGCAGTCCAGGGCTTATCCTATAGCATCACACCAGGGCTCCTTATTTATCTCTAGAAGATAAATATTTACATAGGAAATCTCTTTGGAAAAATCCATTAAGTAGCCATTTATTTACACAGGCATTGACAACAAGTCATATGCTTGTCTGAAGTCAAGTTTCTCTCCCTTATTGTAGTAATTCTAGCCAGAACATGACAATGTGCTTGAATTTCACAATTGTACATGACCTATATACCTTGTACACTCCTAATACTTTATTTTGGTAAACATTTAAAAAGTATTGTCAAACATTAAAAATAAGTAAATAAATAAATTAATTAAAAGTATTATCTAGTCTCTAAACACTTTAGAATCAAAGCAAAAAAAAAAATTTTTTTTTTTAATTCAACCACACTGGCCACACTGTACAGCACGGAATCAGGGGCACAGGGATGCAGAAGCTGATTTTATGTTAAAATCAAGGAAAACAGCAATTTAAACCTATTTCTAAATTGATCAGGTGAACGCTAAAGCAGGGAAAGGAATACTCTTCAGACCAAAATGCCAATAGTCTCATTTATAGAGGGAAATTGAAAACGGACTCAGATATGCTCCCAGTGCCTCCTCCTAATTTCTGAGATGAAGCATAGGAAAACTGGAAATCGCTGATATTCTAACTAACTCTACGGGAACTATCATTCATTTAGAAACAGAAGTCGGATTGACTTCTACACATAGCAACCCTAGAGGACAGAGTTGAACTTCACCATCCTGTTTCCTCGTCTGTAATTTTTACAGAAACAGACTGCTACATCTTTCTCTAGTGGAGTGGTGGAATCAAACTTCCACAGGGCTCCATTTACGTTAAGTATGTCCTTTTTGTTGTCGGTTCTGAGGAGCAGCTGGTAGGTTTGAACTGCCGACCTTGTGGTTCACAGTCCAGTGCTGATCCTACAGTGCCACACCAGGAGTCCGTATGTTAAGTATAAGATTAGTAATTTATTTTCTTTAGTTTATATCTGGGTATACAACGTTGTTGTTGTTGTTGTTAAGTGCCGTCGAGTCGGTTCCGACCCATAGCGACCCTGTACAGGGTTTCCGAGGGTGTAAATCTTTACGGGAGTAGAAAGCCTCATCTTTCTCCTGCGGAGCGGCTGGTAGTTTTGAACTGCTGACCTTAAGGTTCGCAGCCCAATTCGTAACCACTACGCTACCAGAGCTCCTTGCGTAAGACCCACTTATTAAAAGAAAATATATGCAATATATATATTCATAGTTGTTGTTGTTAAGTGCCATCCAGTTGATTCTGACCCAAAGCGACCCTGTATAGGGTTTCTAAGGGGCAGCTGGTGAGCTTGAACCACTGACCTTGCAGTTCAAATGACTTTGCAGTCTCATGCATTAGCCCACAGCGCCACCCCAGGACTCCTATATAGTCATAGTAGCTAAAATCTATTTAATAAGGAATTCCTGGATCACATGGGAGCAGGGTGGCTCCATAGTATAAGCACTGGACTGCAAGCCACAAGTTTGGCAATTTGAGCCTACCAGCAAGTTGGCAGGAGAAGGATGAGACTTTCTGCTCCCTCAGATCTTTAAAATCTCAGAAATCTATACGGGGTGGCTATGGGTTGGAACTGACTTGACCGCACTTAACAACAAGCAACAACCCTGGATCACTAATAAGTAGATGCTTGACTTACTAGTCGAAAGACTGGCTGTTTAAACCCACCTAAAGGAGTTCTGGTAGTGTAGCGGTTACGAATCAGGCTGTAAACCCGATGGCCAGCAGTTCGAAACTACCAGCCGTTCCGCGGGAGAAAGATGAGGCTTTCTGCTCCCGTAAAGATTTACAGCCTTGGAAACCCTGTATAGGGTTGCTATGAGTCAGAACCGACTCCACAGCACATAACAACAACAAAGGCACTATGGAAGGTAGGTCTGGTGAGCTGTTTTGCTGTTGTTTTTTCCCCTTTTATAAAATACTTTTCCAGTCCAAGTCATTGTTTTTGAAAAGTCACAGTCTTGGAAATCCTATGGAGCAGGTCTACTCTGACTACAGGGGATGGCCATGAGTTGGACTTGGCTTAGCGATGAAAACACCAGCACCATCTATTTAATGTGTAATGGTGATAATCAAGGTAATTTATCTGCCGCTCTCTTGATTTTTCTGCTCTACCTTCTGAAACCTCGATTTACACTTAAACCATTATCCAACTTGAGGGATGAATAGAATGTAAGATATCAGAGCTAGATGATGATTTCATTGACGGCTAGCCTGAACTTTGAAACTAAAAACTGAGTTTATGTATGTGAAGTAGGGTTCAGGCAAGCACTGTAAAATATATAAGGCTTATTTGGGAGCAGTTCAACTTCTAAATAACTACTTCCTTCTCCCTTCTGAATATAATTTAAATAACCCCAAGGTGAATACATTTTCTATGAAAGTTTTGCAATAACCATTTTGTTTTACATTCCCAATGACTCCTTTATGTGAGCCAGGTGTTTTTCTTTTAAAGTGCCTTATAAAGCAAGACTCTGCAAAACCAACATTTTCATATATTTAAAAATTCATGATGAAATGTGCAGAAATGCATAATGCTTCACTCAATGTTAGGCCCGGATTTTTCTGGGTAAACAGTCCACTACAAATAAGAAATGGAACATTCGTCTTCTTATTTGATTTAAGAATCCATTCCTCTTTGATGTTTTTCTTTCTTTCTTTCTTTCTTTTATAAAATGCTTTTCCAGTTCAAATTTGTGTATGAAAGACACTCACTATTTTGACATGCTTGGACCCTTATCCCATACTGTGTTAATGGGGCTAACTTTTCCAGCAGGATGGAAAGATGTTGACCAACAGGGGAGATCAGAGGTGCTTCGCTTTCAGCATTGAGTAAGACATTGTACTTTACAGGCACTTGAGGGGTGATAATCCCTTTAGAGAGAGCGGGAGAAAGAAAAATAAAATAAAACAAAAAATGTATGCTACAAAGACTGGCCAAGTAATGCCTACCCCTTTAAGAACAGCATATATTTTAAATTTTGTAATTGAGAGGTAGGTTATTGCTTACATTATGATTAGAAGCTGAAAGGCACCTAAGTCCCAAAATATTATAATACAAATTCTAAATCCAGAAATATGTATCACTCACTTTCAATAAATAATAAATATAACAGCTCCATTAAAAGATATACTCTAGTCCAACATATGAAGGCACACTGTTTCATTTTTTAAAAGAGACAAGGAAGTCAACAATGGCATTACATTTTTCCAAGCTTATTTACTCTTGAAGTACATAAAAAACACCACCAGTTCTGCTTGTGACAATAATTTTCCTGTGAAGTACTGTACATGAATCCTGTCTGACATGGGTCCTTGACACGGTAGCCTATAAAATATCCAAATCATAGTCTGCCTAGAGAATTCCCAGCTCATCGATACTAGTCAGCATAATCTACTCTCTCAATCAGAATTATGGATCTAGAGCCCGTGAAATTTAGGTCCAAAAAATGGTCATTTTTCACCACTGCTTCATAAAAAGAGAATGCCTAGTCATTTTAGCCACTTTAAAGACTATTTTTATAATTAAATGCCTGTATGTTTTATTCAAGGCCCTTGGATGAGGCAAACAATTTTAAGCCTGGCTTCTTACTGAAAGACTGGTGATTGGAACCTACTCAGCAGTTCCACAGAAGAAAGGTCTGGCAATCTGCTTCCATAGAGATTGTAGTCAAGAAAATGCTTTGGAGCTACTCTGTACAACCCGGGGTTGCCATAGTTGGAATTAACACCAGAGCAACATTTTTTTTAAAAAAGTATTATTTCGTTAAGAACAACAAACACGTTTTCAAGGGGGTATCTGAGCCCTGAATGAATAATATAATGGAGTTTCCATTAAATTTTATCATTGATCTGGCAGCTTGTGGGCTTAAAAATACTTTTTAGTGCATCAATAAAAACAAAGCTGAAACCGACAAACGAACAAAAAATCAATGTGTTTTTGCTATAGGAACACTGGAGTCCCTGGATGGCGCAAACAATCACCACACTTGCACACTAACCCAAAGGCTGGAGGTTGGAGTCAACCTAGAATGACATCAGAAGAAAGACCTGGCAATCTATTTTTGAAAAATCAACCATTGAACATCTGAGAGAGCAAAATTCTGCTCTGACACACACAGGGTTGACATGTGTTGGAATTAACCTGGTGGCAACTTAAAAAAAAAAAGTACAAACAACAAAATATATACACACTACTGAGAAGATCGTGTGTATAGGATTTAGTGACCCATGAGAACGTCTAAAAAATGAAATATGGTTTTGCTTTTGTCACTGCAGCTCCTGTGTTTAAGGGGCAAATGAGCTAGAGCAAATGAAAGATACTTGGGATTTTGTGTGGGATGCATGGCAAAAAGGTGTTACTGAAGGAGGTATTGATCCTAGTCAGAGGAGGTGATCAATGATGTCTTTTAGAGGTGAAATATTGTTCTTAATTTAGCAACACAGATTGAGAACTCTGATTTTAAATTAACAGTATCATTGTTAAACTTTCTGCTGCATTTGTCCTAGTAACTTGATCTTATCATTGACTACTAAATACTTATCTCCACCTTGATAAAACGGCTACATTCCAGAACTATATTTTCAATAGCCTAATGGATACACGAATAGCCTAGAAGTCTACACGAATACTCCACAGTAATCTCAATCTGAATAGGTTCAAAACAGAAATTAGCTACATTTCACACTCAGAAACTTGCTCTTCTTCCTGAGTAAGTGCTCATATCATCTTTTCATATACTAAACTGGAGATTTTAGAATAGTTCTTGACATACCATTGTTTTCATTTCCAAGTGGAAGTAACTATGGAATTTTATCAGTTTTTTCCTCGAGAAAGCTGGGCATCATATATAATTAACAAGAGGCCATAAAAGGTGCTAACATGATTCAACCTATATTTTAGGAAGATAATACTGGTGGCAGATGAATGATGAGTTGAACTCACAGGAGAGAGAACTGGTAGGGAAAGGAGTATTTGAAAGTCATCACCATGGTTGCATCAAGGACACAAACAAGAATTCCTTGCATTCCAACTTTATTCCAAGCAGCATGCATTATCTCACTTAGTGCCATTAACACCTGCATGTAATAAAGGTAGGGACTTTCTTCTACTCCATTTGGTAGTTCTAGTGTTGAGATTCCAGAACAAAGTCAATAAACATCGATTGATAAGATGAATGAATGAAGCCGCATATAATATTGCAAGATAAGCATTATTACTAATTTTTTGAAGATGAGGCAACTAAGGTTCAGGCAAGTTAAACAACGTGTTCTGGATGGCACAGTGATTGATTGGCATACCCAAGACTTGAACTCAGATCCATCTGATACTAAAACAAATCCTTCTAAATCTTTCTTAATAATGGGACACTTGATCTTGAACTGGGGCACTTGGCGATAAAATGAAATAATAATTTTGAGAGACTATCTCCAGGTAGGCAGAATAGGTCCTGGAGACCAATTAGACATACGTAACAAAAGTAATAGAAAAGTCAGAATTGTCTCTCGTGGAACAAACAAATGATAGGTGATAGCTGAAGTTCTGAAGACCAGGTTTCCCAAACTGAGATACCTATATCCTGAACCTTTGTGGACAATGTTAAGTATATTGAAAGCCATGAACAAACATGGTCCCTATTTCCGGAATATCATTTAGGTAGCCCACAATACCAGCAAAATCCTAATTTCCTTGTTCACAAAAGTTGGTGTGAGCTTTCTTCCTAAAAACAAAACTGATTCTAGAAGATTATACATCTAGTGAATATGAATAATTAGAACTTTCAGTAGTCAAGAGTAGTTTTAACTCTACAGTCACCTCAGAGTGAAACAACTATGCAACAGCAGAAAAGTTAATGCTGATGTAACCAGTGTGTTGAACAGGAAGTATTCATAATGTAATCAAGACACGCAAGTACATTCCTGCAGCAAAGGAAGTCCCTATCAAACAGAATGAAATGGAGCAAAATGAAACAAAAACAGTTGTGACACTGTACCTACGAGCCCTCAAACATTTCTGAAGCCATCTTTCATATAAAGTTGCTATTTCAATGACAAGAAGTATTATATTCATTCAAGTACATGTCTCCATGATGACATTTAGCTCTCTAGTTTTATTTTATTCGCATCCTTGGATATAATCAAGCTGTATCCCTATTAAGATAGTCTAGTATTCATCCTTGACAGTTGTTTGGAGTGGTCTTCCCTCCAGTAAGTCTCAGGTTGCCCTTTAATATGTGTCTTCAGTCTGTACCTACTGGTCTATTTCCAGGTTTCATATTCTTTCAGAGGAAGCTTCTTTGCTGAAAAGGACAGGACTCCCAGGGGCTCAGGGAACAAAATTATGTTTTCACCACATTTCAAATATAGATATAATCTTTATGTAGGTTTAAACATGGCTGGCCAAAGCATGAACCTGGAAAATGCATTTTTCACATCTTGCTTAATAGGATATAAATACCCTTTAACATATACCTATGAGGCATTGAAACAGAAAACACTCCTTTAAGCTGTGAACACGTCAACCAATGACATGCACTTAGGAAAGAAAGCCCCCTCCACTGTCGTAACTTACAGGGTTGTGACATGCAAGCCTCCTGGATCTCTGTAAACTGCCTACCATCTGCAATGAGTCTGAAACTGCCAAGACCCCTAGTATTTTGATGACTAAATGAAATGAAATGGGCATATTTGTTAAAGTCATTTGGGAAGCCACACGACTTGGTTAGTTCCCGAGTTCATAAATTTCCGTCAGAGCAGGAGGAGAAGCGGAAGCTCAAGTGAACCAATTTACCCTAAGTACAAATGGCAGTTTTGTTATTTGGTGTCAAAGTTACCAGTTGCACAATGACAAGCTGCCATAACACATTTTTTTGTTCACTAAAGAACAAGGATTTCGTTGGTTAATATTCCTTGCAATGCTCCTTTTCATAATTTACAACAACTAGATGCTGATAGGTTATTTAACATTTATGAAGTTAAGATGTAATCAGAAAAACCCTGATTATCTTTACAAATAAAAAAGTTCAATTATTCAACTTTTTTTTTCTTCCTTCTTTCTCTTGGTGGCTTCATTTCACAGCAGGTGCATATTTTACAATAGGATAAGTCAATCAAACAATTCTTTTTTAAGTCTCTTTCTCGATCTCTTTTTTTAAGTAGCTAGGGGAGGAACAATTCTAAGAGGAAAACAATTAATTCAGTTTGATAGCCCAGTTTGTTTGCACTTAGCATAGATCAGTTAAAATTCCTCTCTGTAAAGATACAGGTATTTTGGTAATGTCCCTTTGCAGATGTAGATGTGAAATGGGCCACTCTAGAATAATCATCTCTATCATTTTCCACCTTTGATCAAGATGTCAGTAAACTGGAGACCCAGAGAAGCTTCTCTGCAAATCCACAGAAGTACAGCGAGTTGCTGTGTTGATCTGGACTTTATAAAAGATATTAGATGGAAGAGTCTTTGCAGGTTCAGGAGAATCTTAGAACATTCAATGGGAGTCACGGGCAGTAGGTGCGAGAGGGGCTGGGTAAATTATGAACAAAGCAAATTATAGGAAGATGACTTCAGAATGAAATGTCAGTTTAGGAATAGCATTGTTGTTGTTAGGTGCCACTGAGTCGGTTCCAAGTCATAGCTACTGTGTATAGAGTTCTTGACATTGGAAATCTTTCTGAGAGCAGAAACCCTACCTTTTTCCTGTAGAGCAATTGGTCAGCTCGAAACACTGATTTTTCAGTTTGCAGTCCAGTGTTTATCCTACAGAGCCAACATGATCCTCTAGGAACAATATGTCTATTTAGTGTGTATTATCATCTACATTGAAGAAGCTCTGGTAGCATAGTTGTTACGAATCGGGCTGCTATCCTCAAGATCA